GTCTTTGCTGCGTGTGCCCCCTGCCTGCCCCAGACAGGGCCCTTCAGTGGTGGGAAAGGTGTGCCAGGTGCCCTGGGGCACGTGGATGGGCCAACCACCTGGAGGATGACAGGAATCAGAGGAGGTAAGAGAAGGGAGGCCCTCCGTAGGCCAAGTCACTCTTCTGTAGCCTGAGCTCTGATCATGGGCAGGGGTGGGGGAGGGGGTATCCCTTGGAAAAGAGCAATAACAGGGACTGTGGTAATGAAGAGGGCTGTAACCACAAGGTCGGGAGTTTGAAACCACCAGTGGCTCCAAGAGGGAAAGATGAGGTTTTCTGCTCCCGTAGATTTACAGCTTCGGAAAGCCATAGCAGCAGTACTACCGGGTCCTACAGGGTGGCTGTGCGTCCAGACAGACTCAGTGGCAGTGGGTGTTTGGGTGGGTGAGATAAAGTTTATTGTGCCCACTTGGCCAATAAACATGTGTGGGGTTAATTGAAGGGCAAAGCGATAAATGGTTTGGTGAGCCTCGCCTTTCGAGTTCTCGGGTCTCTTGCTTTTTGATGGTCAGACCAGGGTGCAGCTGCCTTAGCAGTTCCCTGCTTCAGCTGGCCAGGCTCACTTCCTGGGAGACATCCCCGAGGAGAAGCCACATGGACCTACCCTGATGCAGCCCTGGGTGCCGGAGCACCTGTGTGGAGACCCCTGCCAGCGCTGAGATGCTAACATGTTCACTGATTTGGCTTTCCTCCTGCAGTCGGCATCATTGCGTGTGTTTTGTGAGATGGAGGAGGACTTTGTGGATTGATGTGGGACATATTGGGTTAATGGGTTGATGTTGGACTTGTGGGCTTGGGCAGCACTGGGTTGGGATGTTTTCTTGATGTGCACTTACCCTTTATATAAAACTCTCTCTCATACATATGAGTTTCTGTGGATTTGTTTCTCTAATGGACCCAGACTGACACAGTGGGAATGACATGATGACAAGGGTCTGGAAGGAGGTGGACTGAGGAGAGCCTGAGAGTACTTGGCATAGTGGGCCACACCCTGGGCTGCTACCTGTAGGGTCAACGTTTTGAACCCCCCAGCCACTCTGTGTCAGAAAGGTGAGACGTTCTCCCTGCTTAGTCTCAGAGCCCACAGACTGCCGACTGGACGGACCCCGTGGTGCATCCACGGCAGTGAGCGACTGAGGCTTCCAGGATGAACCCTCAAGCCACTGTGAAGAAATGATGCAAGGGGCCGAGAGTGTGTGCCATGTTCAGCCATTGCTTCTCCTAAGGGTGACGGATGGGGAGACATCTGTGTTGACAAGCAAAGAGCAGATCCAGAGGCAGGGGAGTCTGGAAGGGGTGGTGGGAGGGAGACCAGAGGGTGAAAGGCCCCGGAGAACCCAGAGTTCCCTTGGTGGCCACAGACACTGGCGGGGCCAGGGAGGTGGCACAGTGCAACGAGGCTCCCCGTGTTGCAGGCCAGCATGAAGGGGTCTCACCCAGGACAGGCACCTTGGCCTCCAAAGGCCCGGGTTCTGAGCAGCAGGTCCTGAGAACTGCCAACGGGCTGGGGCCACAAGGAGGCCCGGAGCTTCCCTCTCGAGAAAGGCTAAAGCGTGTGCCCCGACCTCCATGTTAGAAAAGAGGGGCTCCCCGGGGGCTCATGGCTGCGATGTTGATGTTTATGGAAGCAGGTGAGTAGACCTTTCTTCCCAGGCCTCCACAGGTGGGTTAGCACCCCAACCGTTCCGCTAGTAGCTGAGTGCAAACTGCTTATTACACTCGGCTGCCTTCTTCAACTGACACCCCATAAACCCAAACCAACAACAAAACACCCAAACCCACGGCTGCTGAGTGGATTTGAAGCAGCCAGCTTCATTTTTCTCCCGCAACGTGGCTGGTAGGTTTGAACCACCGACCTTGCAGTTAGCAGCACTCCCACCCCCACCCCGCTGCCTACCCCCCAGCACCACCTTTCCCTTGGTTGGCGGCTCCCAGAAGCCCGGGGACAAGCAGAGTGTGTAGATGTGGCCATTTGCAGCCTTCGTGTCTCTTCCAACGAGCACACGCTCAATGAGATGCAGTTCTAGAAAGTCTGGAGTCTCAAACTGACACAAAAGCTTCCCGGCCGCCACTCCGCCACCCAACAAAGGAGCTAAGAATGCTCACTGGATTGGAAAATAAGATCGAACATCATTGCATTTATTAGGTTCTGAAACAATACACATTCACATCCTTTTGAATACAGTACATTTGGCACAATAATGTGTACGATGAAATAACACTAACAGATGGCAAGAGATTAAAATTACATCCAGAATGGGGGAGGGGAAAATAGGTACAAAGGAAGCATCACAAAACCAAAAAACAAAACAAAACAAAAAAACCCCTAAAAACCAAAACCCCCAAAGTTGATACAATTTATAGTTAGCCAGAATAATTTTGCACATAATTTAAGAAGAGGTAAATTTTTTTAGCCTTCTTGATTTATAAGCAAGAATGCATTTTTTCCCCCTCCGCCTTCGGAGGAAAAAAAAATTGTTTCCACGTCATAAAGTCCATCATGAGAGAACACCGGCGAAAGCTATCCTTCACATAGTTTGGCATAATTCTGCACTCCACTGTTTTCCCCTTGAAGAGAGAGTTGGGGAGGGCGAGAGGGAGTGAAGGGGAGAGCAGAAAGGATGCGAGCATCAGCAGAAAGATGACAGTGTGTCCTTTTCCCAGTCTTGGGAAGCTAAGAGGAAGCCGTGAACACTCAGGAATAGACGAGCCATTGTCTGCGAACCCCCCCACCCGATTGGAATCTACCTGTGTGAGGACCGCATCAGCGGCAGCCCCAGGTCGCCGGCATCCTGGGAGCCCCCTGGGTGCTGACAGGCTCCTGGGGGTGGGGGTGGGTTGGGGCAGGCCAACCACGGAAGGCCTGCTTAGAGCAGCTGGGGTGGAATGTGCTATTTGCTTTCCCAGGAAAAATGCCAGCTTTCCAGTAGGAAGGGCCCCACCACCACTGGCATGCGAACCCCACCAGGCCCTGCCGGACATGGCCCTTTGCACTGCAGTGAGGTCTTGCCTGGTAGTCCGGCGTTGCTAATGGTGAGGGGAGCGGAAGAGAGGCGCAGAGCAGCAGTGACCGACGCATGAGAATGATGGACGGCATTGTCATGGCTTCCTAAAAAAATGAGATGATGCCACCGTGAAGACGTGTCTGTGCGTGTACTCGACCCCCAGAAGGCAGTGCCTCCCCTGCAGGTCAAGTGGCTGAAGACAGTAAATGAATCCCATGCGCTTCATGACTTCAGTGGTACGCCCAACACACGGATTGCTATAGCCTAATATTCACTATTTGAAATTACCCTAAGAATAGATAATAGTTACACCTGAGTTTTCAAAACACAAAAACAAAATGAGAACTGAAGGTCAACGTTGGTAACAAGGGATCTGACCAGCCAGCTGTAAGGAGTGGGGCGCACACTCTCCCAGGCTTGAGACCGTCATTGTCCAAGCTTGGAAACCATTCCCAAAAACATGCCCCCCCTCTTTTTCTTTTTACTTCCCCAGCTCTATTGGGTCCTAAGAGAGCACAGGGGAACTAGATACGAGATTTCATATAGCTTAATATATATTTTTAAAAATAAACCCAAACAAAACAATACAAAGCAACACCCCCATGCCCGAAAAAAACAAAAAACAAAAAAGAAAGAAAAGAAACACATCTTATCTCTCGGTAACTTGAACCAATACACTTACAGAGTATTGCACCTAGACGATGTTATAATTATTCGTTCATAGACTAAACATTTTATAATATGCCTGAACATGCAGCAGTTGATACCTCTATAGTCATTGAATTAATTCCACAGGCCTTGCAGCAAACACTATATACAGAAAAAAAAAAAGAGTCTCAAATGTACAAAAGGCAAAAAGCTTCGCTCCTGCCCCTTTGCCACTCACGAGGGGATCTATTTAGGGGCAGCGGGGAAACCCACATGCAACAGTGGGACTGGACTCCACTTCCCGTTACATCAGTTCGGTCGGACGGGTCATCTGTGACCTGCGGGCCACGTAGACGCAAAGCCGCAGGGAACCCTTGGACATCACAGAACGTAACCCTGCTAGCGGATCTGCAGGAGGTAACATCATTACCACGAGCCGGCTACCATTTCCTGTCGCCACGAGCCGCACCCTTGGCGTTCCCGCAGGTAGCTCTTCGCGTCGCCTGCCAGCCTTCTGCGGGTGACCCGTGGTTAGGCTCACTCTGCTCGTTCCAAAAGCAGAGGTTTCAAATTGGACTTTACACATTGAAACTGCCAAAGCGAAACGGAACACAACAGAAACCACGATACAGTAGTGCTACCATTTTTGAAGAAGTGCGCAGAAGAGGAGACGTTGCTACAGAATATAAGTAAGAGGAGCTTCGGCCGGGGACTCTGGGTGGAACCGGAAAGCGGGGTTGGGAGCCGGGTTTTGCTAGAACCCTGGTGTCTGGCCCTCCTGGCGGTGGTGGGTGGTCTTGGTGTCCAGGTAGCGCCACCTGGGCGAGGACGGGGATGGATGGATGGACCCCTCGTCACTCAAGCACTGATGACATACACTTTGACCGCTGGTTTCTCACCATCTCTCAGCCCTTGAAGAGCCAGCTGTCTTCGCTGGAATTGCTATCATTTGGCCAATTAGGAGGGTGCATCTTGTACTGTACCTTTCATGCGTAAAAGAGTTTCGGGCCCAATTTGTTTTGCCACAAAGAGTCATTTCTTCTACAAGACGCACGCGGACGAGACTTTGGCATGCCCCAAAGCTAATGCCAAAGCGAGCAAGAATTAACCATTC